GGGAGAATTGTAGGGCTAGCTTTCAGGGCCGTTCGGCACGAGTGTATGGTGGCACGTTCGCCCTTCGCCCGGCACGTAGCCGCCGGCGCGAAGAGGATGAAGTTGACCCCGCCTGCTGTCCGAGTCCAAAACATAGTGAAGGTGCTCAGTGCGCAGCGTGCTGCTGCCTGAGTAGGAGATTGCGATTGAGCATCTTGGGCAGCGCGAGTAGCATTTTGGCATTTTGCTCGGAGTGTCGCATAGTGCACGCGCGCACGAAATCACACGTGAGAGCTTTCACGCCACAAGTCCCTTTTGGCTATGGACTGGGCATTTGAATCACCAACCCTCTCCGCCCTTCCCACAGTGCCCCTCGCCAGGTGCGTAAGCCGCGAAGTTGACGCGCCTGCTGTCCGAGTCCAAACTATAGTGAAGGTGCTGAGTGTGCAGTGTCTGCTTGAGTAGGAGATTGAGCATCTTGTGCAGCGCGCATAACATTTTGGCAAGGAAGCAGTCAGTGCAAATGCTCACATGTCGGAGGGTTGCCTCCAGAAAGGGTAGTAAAGGAAGTACCCGCGCTACTCCCAGCAACCGGGATACGTGAGGAGGAAGTAGGCCACGCCAAGCAGAGCGGGCGTGTTGTCATGTCCAAGCAAGGAACAGATTGGAGAGGCAGGCCATAGCAGCGCGCCGAGACTTTAGTTAATAGAACCCCGTGCAACCAGCGGATCGCGCGCCAGGGGGTTTTACTGTTAGAACATCTGAAAGCCAGGTAAGGGTTCCTGACACGCACCTCCCCCCAGAGGCCACTCTCCCCGAAACGGGGGCGCTGACATCAGGGCAGGGAAAAGCGCAGGCCATGAAACCAGACGGCAGAATTTGCACGGGGAACTTCAACAAAACCTTCGAGCCCGGGCCATGTGGCACCAGCCGAGGGTCGCAGAGAACAATCCTGCTGCAGTGGCTCAATGACCTGAACAAGCCATTTCGCAGCCCAGCTATTTCCCCCTACAACCAGCACCAACCCAGACGGCTTGACTGTCTCTCCTTGCGATCAATGCAGAGTGGAGAGGAGGGACAAGCGCGCAAGTTCACGCATGTCATTTCCAGTGATCACGACGCAGTGGCGGCGCAGACATTCATGAGATTTGGAGAGCTGAAGGAGAGGACTGCCCAAGAGACGGTACCAGGGACCGAGGCAGCTGATTCACCAGGATGCTCTAAAGCGGACCCTGGAGTAAAAGGCTGAAACCCGAGGGGACAGACAGCAAGCTATCGAGCAGACAGCCCAAGCCATTACCGAACCCAAGAAGAACCATTACAGGTACAGGGAAAAGCAACGACACCAAGCAGATGCGAGCGGAGGCCACGCGAGCAAAACACACTCCGGAAGCAAAAGCGAGACGGAAGCAAGTGTGGACGAGAAAGAAACAGGAAAAGGAAGTTTGGGAAAGAGAGATGCTACAGGAGGTCCTGAAGAACAATTGGGAAGCACCCTGCGCCATAACCATAAGATGCAGCAGCCCTACTTGTGATTCAACTTTGCCCAAGCGGCCACGGACCCCCTGAATTCCTCGTAGGATCGGTGCCAGCGCATCTTGGAGGTCCTTGAGTGTGAGGCCACTAGCCGGCTCACTGTGTTCTTGAACAAGCCAGGACTCCGTTGTCAAGGCCCAAACCCACCTGGTCCACGTCTATCGGCCCTGGGCCTGTCGCGCTGACATTCTTCGAGGCACCCACGCAACGATCATAGCAGTCAATGCCAGCGGCACTATGCACAGGATCTCTCTATCTTTCTTTGTGTCGCGCGGGCTATGGAGGAGAACCAAGGCTCTCCTCCGGGCTTCTATGCCCAGCCCTTGTTGGGCTGCGAGGTCGACCTTTACCCCTCATGGCTTCACATGGCTGGGTTGATGATGGGGAATAAGAACAATGGTACCAGTTGAACTAAAGGTGTACCCAACCGTGGAAACTTGGCCTATATCACCAAGTGAACTGTCAACTCCACTCTTTCGTTAGGTTTCGCTTTTAAAAGTGGGGGCCACCCTGACAGGAACAAGGTTTGTGGAGTTGACACTGACCATGTCAAACTGTTTGCTGGAAGGATTGCCACTACTGACAGCGCCCAGATCATTTGGTTGGGGGTAGTTTATGCCAATGTCACACACAGATTCTGCAATCTCTCAGCTTCTGGTTGTTGGCTGGCATCTCACTCTAAGATATCTGGGCGAAACTATTGTGGCACATGGTATGGGGTGTGGAAACAAAGTATGGGCTTGCTCAACCAACGGTCTTCATCTTGGTGCGCCGGAGGTTGCCTATTCTTAGGACTGCTAGGACTGCTTCTCTCAGTTGGTGTTGCGGGGGAGGTTGCCCACGCCGTTGTCTTTGTTTGGCTCGTGGCTGGTGCTGTCGAAGCCAGGGTACGCCATACACGCGGTCAGCATCCTGCCTTCTCCCTCTCCTTGCGTGAAGTTGGCTTGCGTCACCTGTGGTGCTGACCCCTCCTCTTCGAATGGTGGACCGAATATGTCTGCCGTGTCGTTTTGGGCGGTGTTGTGATTGGTTCTGGGTGCATCTTTGGCTGCTTGTTGGCTTGGTGGCTGTTGCCATCCCAACACCCACCATGGTTGTTGAAATGGTGGAGCCTCTGGTGCTGTCAACGTTGCCTGCTGCTGCGACCGTGCTGTTTCTGACGGCCTGCTTTGCTCAGGAGGCTCGTTTGACGGCATTGCGGAGGCTGTTGTTGCCATGATGCGCGACGGTGGTGGTGATCTGCTCCTATTCCTTGCGTTGTGTGAGGTTGCTGGGGTGGTTATGAGATGCTGTGGTTGTTGTGGTCTGCTGGAGCTGGGGTGCTGTTGCCCTCTGTGTATCGTTGTGGTTGTGACTGGGGTGGTTGCATGATGCGTGCCACGATGCTGGTGACGTGTATTGGTTGAAGCTCTTCTTTTGGTGCCAGTGGTGGCATTGACGGTGCTGCCGCACTGCCGATGGAGGTGAGGTGATTGGCAGTCACCTGATGCTGTAGCAAATCGCGTAGGAGTGGAATGCCTGTTTGCAGTGCTGTAAATGGTAGTTGTTGTTGAAGGTGTCGTGTGACGTGTGGGTGGAGGCTGCTGGAGCTTGCAATGGCTTGATTGGGGCCAGGCTTGCTTGTGGGCTGCAAGGCCTTCTTTGGCTTGGGTTTAGTTTTGCATGCTGTGGGTGGATTCGCACGGCTATCCCTGTCACTGCGGTTGTTGCCGACTGTGGCTGGTGGTTGTGGTTGCACTAGTGGTGCAGTTGTGGAAGGTGAGCTCGGCACATTGGTTGATGGCGGTTGGCCTCCTGTGCTTAGGGGCACTGGCTGTGGTTGTTCTTGCGTTGCCCCCGTCTCTGGATTGTTCTGCTTTGGCGGTTGTTGTGGGTGTAACTGTTGCAAAAAGGATGCCTCTTCGGGCGGTGCCTCCGGGCCCTCGCTGCTGCTTTCCACGTTCTCCTGTGTGGCTCCTGTGCATTGATCAGGGTCTGGGAGGTCTGGATCGAGTTGTGGTGTTGGCTGGTCTTGTTGTTCTGTGTTTGCAGGGTGTTGGTGATGGTGGTATGGTGAGTGTTCTTGAATTGTTGGTGGGTTGGTGTTTGGAAATCGTGCTAAAATGTGGTGGCTTGTGATCGCTCTTGCTCGAGCAGAAATTGGCTGTTGCCGAGGCGTGTCAGTCAGGATCTTTCTTTCTTTCGGTATGGAGCGATCGAAAGATCACTCCGGGCTTCAATGCCCAGCCCCTGTAGGGCTGTTCAGTCGGTGTAAGCCCGCGTTGCTTCAAACATGGTCATCGTCATACAGGATCTTTCTTTCTTTCGTACGGGCTATGGGAAGGCCGTGGTGGCCCTCCCAGGCATCAATGCCCAGCCCCTGTGGGGTCATTGCCTAGTGGGCCCATAGGTAAGGGTACCTGCTGAGAAGGCTGTTTGTTCGCTTCATGGCACAATGAGTGACGGCTCTATAATCTCTTTTTCTTTCTTTCTTTCGTGCGGGCTATGGACTGCTCCAGGGGGAGCAGCCCGGGCGCCTGCCCAGGCTCTGTTGGGCCTATGATCTCTCTCTCTCTCTCTCTCTCCCACACGTTCAGAGGGAACGCTGCCGTAGGCTTGTCCAAGGTGAATTCCTGTACATCACGCAAAGTCAGTGTCACCTCAGCTTCTGTGGGGTGAAAGCAAAGGCTTACGCTACTCTACAGTGCTCAACCTAAAGGGAACCTCTTGAGCGTTCTTCCCATCCCTTTCATTACTCACAGCAATGAAACCTAAACCTCACGTTTCGGCCGCTTTCAGAAGGATGGCACGCTAGCACGCGCGAAACATTGCGTTTTGAGGTTCAAGCTAGCTGCTTGACCCGGCCTACGCCGGATTGCCGGGCCACCCCAAATAAGTGGCTTCATGCAAAATCAACAGTTTCGGACCTGGCCTGAAACTTGAAATCCTGAAGCTTGAGATTGCAAGGCAAACAGTCCAGCTAGAAAAAAAAATGCCCTCAGACAAGCCGGGTTTCAGCCTGCCTCAGTACCGATCCACAAAAAAAACATGCAACTTTGTACAATTGCCCCAAAATCAACGGTGAGATGCGGAATAATTTCTCCAAAGCTTGTCTTTGCTGAGACTCTCCGCGCTAGTGTGAATTCAAATTCATTGTTTCCTCCTCTCTTCCTGTCCAACCAAATGCAGGACTGTGCAGAAAAAACGCAACTTCCTGTGCCCAGCTGTTCGATACAGCTTCGGCGCTTGCCACAGAAAGGCTTGCTACTGACACCGTCCGTCCTTTCTTGAGCAGTTCTCGCTGCTGCTTCTTGCAGCTGCTGACAGCATGACGTGCCTATGTATAGTCGTCCTTCCTGCCTTACGGCTTTCTTTCCCCTCATCGGTTGAGATACTGTACTGTCCCTAAACATTCCTGTTCGGTGTGGCAATTGCTGCGCCAGCTCTGACATCTCTGACATGACCCAGGTGGCAGGTCCCCTGCCTGCACAACTCGGACACGTGCATCAAGCCTGGCGGGCCCACCGCAGTTTCATGAAGCTACCACAGCGAAGATGCCGAAAAGCATAACATTGACACTGTAGGGACCTCAATGAGAGCGCTGAGAGCATCATGGTCACTGCCACCAGTGCCTAAATTCCAGGTGCCCTTGACGCTCGGGCAACCTCGGCTAAACTATGCAACCCGCCAGCAGCTACAATGCCGTCAGCTACATGAGACATGCTGGATAGAAGGCGCGGGCTTCACTTGAACCAGAACTGGTCTACCGCTGACTGTGCCTCTGACTGCTGAAAATGTGGTCCACGCCACCGTGCGAATTGCCACTGAAAACGCGGTGCATGCCTGACCATTCGCTACATCTGCTTCTGGGATAGAGGGCTGATTCAGATTCGACACAAGCAGGCACAAAGACAGTCAGTATGCAGCATGTCTTCAGTCACTCACCCACCCACCCAATTTCCATCCGTTTCCAATAACACGCCATCCCTGCAAAGCTGTTGCTCACTCTTGTCAATTCTCGTCCTAGCAGGAACCAAAGCCACTCCAACACTGCCATCAGCCGAACTGAATCAGACACGTCTTGGAGGTATGGAGCTGTAAACTGGCTGCGCAACACGGGAGAGAGGCCAAGGATGAAGAGAGGCCGCCACACTACATACACCATGGGCAACTGCTGGTGGATTGAAATTGAATCAAGAGATTCCAAGACTCTGGCGCTCAGACAACTTCTGGATGGTCGGGGACCCTGTGACGGAATTGAAGTCACCTACGAGGATCACCTGAGCTAGATTTCTGGTACTATATACTTTGCCTGTCGTCCCCAAGCCGAACTAAGGAAACAGCATCATCATTGGAGTCTGCATTTTCACCGATTACTCGCATGATGTTGTAGGCAGTGGCCTGCATGGCACTTCAGCCAAGACACTCGACACAGTCAAACTGAACCTGGTGCCTCACAGCCACATTTGCCACCACTACTAAGTGGAAGCGGGCCATGGAAATTCAGGAAAATCACTGTCCGGCCTTAGCAATTCAAGTTAGATCCCCTTGCGCGAAGTCAGCACATGCCTTCAAATGCTTCAAGTGACTTGCATGGATCCACCAGTTCTGACTTTGGAATGCCACACAACTTTGGCCAGTTGGTTGCTGCTAGTTACTGCTAGTTTTCTGCGGAAGCTAGTTGTACTCTCCAGAACCCTCCTCCTGTGTTGAATACTGTCTATCAGTATTCAATGGGAGCGAGTTGGTCGAAGAGATTGGCTGCACATACGGTACCAGTCCTGGACGCGTCCAAGCACTAGGCCATTTTGTCTGTGTTGCACACGAACCCACCTTGGGAGCATGTCTACCTCTCTTTCAAGGAGAAAACACCTGCATCAATCCCATGTATCATAAGCTCTTGACTGCACTCCTCGTTGGCCGTACCTGCCAAGGATGTCTTGTGAAGTTCCACTCCCGCATGGTACGAGCTGATACCGAGCATTCCAGGCGCACCACTGATCTCTCCTATCTTCGGCAATATCAGTCTGCCCTCGGCCTGTCACGGTCCACTGAAAAGTCTGAGCAGCTCACGCTGAAAACGCTACTCTCAGATGCTGCCAGTAGCTGATGTAGGTTCACCCCTGCCATTTCGTGATACTGGGTGGCCGATTGTTTTTTCTTGAACATGCTTCAGGCTTCGCATCAATCTCCAGGCATGCGCCGCCTGAAACCCTGTCCTGGGCACACCATTCCTCAACTAGCGCGCAGAGCAGCAAGAAAGCATATCGGCGCAGCAAATGAAGTCTACACACTGTGGATTCCCCTACGCCAAGACATAGCAGGATACGGACTAGACCATCTCGGCAACTGCATGGCACCGTCTCATCATGTCGTTGCAGACTTGCATGTTTTGTCGCAATGGCTGGAATATACACTATTGAAAGACATGAGGCGTTTGCGTCGCACTTGAGCTCGTGCTGATGTTGGGTGTGCCAGCAAATGCAAGCTTAGGTAACAGAGCAGCGGAGAGCCGCAACCCGACCGCTACCCCCACGAACTTACCCCAACTACACGTGTCAGGCACATGGAGATCAAGAAACAATCCGTCCATTTAAGGACGGAATTGGATCTTTCTGACAAGCACCCCTCCTCATCCAGGAGATGGTTGGGCCTTTTGGGTGTAGCTGCATGTTTGACCATCTTGGACATCTCTCGGCTTGGCATCAAGAATCGGCCAGGAAAGCAGCACCTTCCCGAAGTAGTTCCGTTGGTGCATTTGGCGATTGACCGTGAGAAGATACAGAAGGAATGAATTGTTCCCGAGCTAGACCTTCACAGCTTCAGGAAATCGAAAGGGGGCGCCTGCGCTTCCCAGTAGTGCTTCAGGTCAAATGGTTTGGCTACTTTGTTCTTGGTGGGGATCGATGAGCCGGCGCCAACCCCAGCCCGACATGGCCCAACGATGCTTTGACAGTATGTCCGAACCTTTCAGGATCAAGGGGCTGTGGCTCAGCTTGGTTCTGCTCTTCCCAACGGTGGGCATGCGGCATGCTTAGCCTTGGAAATTTTGAGACTGTAAGCCCTTATCACAAAACGATATACCTTGGTTTGCTTGGCTTGGTCATCAGCTGGACCTTCCTGTCGAGGCACTTTCACAGGCCTCCTGTGAATTCAGTTTCAATCAAGGTGGCCACGGTCAGGTGGTCACGGCCAGTTGGGGCTCGATATCCTTCCAGCTAAGCGTCCACATCAGGACCGCCGCCTTTCCAAAAGCACAAGCTCTCAGAATACAAATCACGGTTATTGAAAAAGCCAGAGTTGATACGTTCAAACAGCAATTGGTAGCGGAACAAACCCAGCACCACATCGGACTCGCTGCGAATGGCCCGCAAATCTTTCTCCTTATTCTTGAAAAGTAGGATGGGCAGGCTAGAACACAGTCTGCCCGACCACCTGTCTCTCCGCTTCAGTTGAGACACATGACTGAAGAAGATTGCCTGTTGCCGGCTTCTTGACTACACTTCTGAAGAGCTACCATGAATTGCTGCTGTTACTCAGTCCTGCAAATTCCGCAGGTGCTGGCTAGTGATACGATGAGGTGGTTCTTCAAAAAGCAGCTAACTCATTGCACATCGACGATATCAGTTACTGAGTGCACCACCAAGCTCTTGCCAGGTGGACTTTCGGTACGCCACACCTAGCCTCAGACAGTGACTGATGTATGTGTGTACTTTCTCAGCGTTTAATCTCACGAGACTATGACTTTGGCTTCGCCACATTCACGCCACCACGATTGCTGAAGCCCGAAAAGACTGTACATCACCCCTTTCGCCTCTCGTATCTACCAAAACTTGCGCAGTCTGAAGTTCAGTCATTCGAGATGTTATTCCCAGAAGCATGTTGCAAGCACCGGTGGCGAACCAAGATGTTCTTCTGCTCAATTGGATGCTAGTTGCCGTCTACTGGCCATGCTCTCCTCTCCGCCAACCCAGAGGAGATCGTATTTGAGCATACAAGCCTTGAAACCCATAGATCAGGAACACTCGCACCCCATATATCCGAGACACTGAAAAGAATAGGTACTCAGCCTAGTGCAACTAACATCACTTGCTTGGCCCTTGGCGCGTGGGGTCCCTGAATCCGCGTGTACTCGTTCTGCAATCCTTCGGGTTCAAAGCACATGCAACAACCTTGCTAAGCCACTTGGAATCGAGAAGGACCTTCCCATCCTTCCCGGACCTTCTTCCCTCATCTAAGAAGGCATTTAGGAGGCAGTTTTCCTGTGAGAGCACTGTGTTTAGAGACCTGATTCAGGCCATGTATTCGTAGAAAAGATTGCGAGATGGACATCTAGCCCTCGGACAGAAAACAGAAACGCAGGGGCACCTACAACTTATTACGGCTTCATGCGTTTTTGTTTGTTGTTGATAGCCACAAGTTGGCAGTACATGGAGGATTTTCACCTCAGTGGATTCCTGGCAATATTTGATTTAGGCATGCTTCCTTTGATGTCCGGCGCAGGATAGCAGAATAGCATAAAACAAGATGAAAGCAATGTCGTTGGGACTTTGGCAAACTTGCCGAAACCAGGCGTGCGGCCGGAGCTCCCTGGCTAGCTACGAAGTCCATGCAACCGCAGCCAAACGGCAAACTAAACGCAGCACCACGATATGAATGTGCTGGTTTCTGGTGCTTTTTTACAATGTGAGTTCATCCACCCCGTAGCAAGGAAAAACCGCAACTACCGGAACTAGCCTGAAGCTGCTCCGAAGCCAGCTTTGGTAGCAACAGCGGCAACGACATGGACCACAACAAGAGTACAAGGCATAGCAGTGAGTCAACTAATACGAACAGGCCCTGAGGGGCTTTTGGGAATCAGACGGAACAGGAAAATTAACAGTCGGGATAAGAGTGCAAAGTGCGAGCACTGGGGTTCACTTGGGGACAAGAGCTGGAAGGGGGGCTGACGCGAGAAGTCGCAATGCAGCCAGTTCAACAGAAAATCGTGCACTTCACGCAGGCCGCCTTGCCCAGGCCATCCCAGGCCCCCTGCAGTACCATAGCAAGTTGTGTGGGGCGAACCTGCGTGACGAACTGCATGCACGCTATAGTGTTTTGCACTTACGCGCACTAAGCATCGTGCTCGTTCTCACGCTCCAAATACTCTTTTCGGACTACTGGTCACGGCGAAACAGTTGGCAATCAGAACGAATGCTACTGCAGCAACGGAAGAAGCAGCACTAATGACAGCAGGGTACCAACCAGTAGAAATAAACCTGGCAATCATGCCACGCGTGCAATGGTAGCTGCAATGACACATATCACTAAACATCACATCAGGAGCGGCAATAACAAAGCCCTGTGCAGTAGGAGAAGTAATTTTAGGGGTAGTCGCATCATAGCGGCAGTCATGCTAGTCAATTAAACATGGAAACAAGGACTAATCAGGTCTTCACTGGTGGTGGCAGCAGCAGACGCTTTAATGAGATGTGTAATGATCGTATATGATAGTCATACAGAATATCTAAAGCAGAAATCTAAAACACAGTGATGCGATCAGTGTCAGAGTAGCAGCGGCAATAATGATTCTAAAGACGAAGTAGTAGCAATAGCCCGACACGCGAGTGCGGAGGCATGCCAATCTAGCACCTGAGAACGCCAAGGGCCAGCCATTGTGCGCTTTCTCCAGCGCAATCACCTTCGCTTTAGTAATACCTCCATTCACGGAGCACATGGTAGCAACAGCAATAACAGTACTAACCCTGTTTGTGACAGCATCGGAAGCAATGCGGTGATTAATGGATAACGGTTAGAACAATGATAGTTAAAACAATGACCGTAAGATTCATGACAATATCAGAAGCCACACAAATACGGGCAGTGGTAAAAACGGTGACAGCAAACACTGAGAATTATGATAACAGTATTCGTCACAAAACTCAGCGAATGTGCGAAAACATTTCCAATAGTCGTCTTTTGTTGCACACAACACGAAGCTGAAGGCCAGGGGCGGGGGGGGGGGGGGGGNNAAAGGCAGAAGCTGGAGACAGGAAGAGCAAAAACAGAGAGCGGTGGCCAGCAGCAGGAGAAACCAGCAAACAGAGTTGCTAGCTGAAGGTCGAAGGCCAAAACAGAATCCAAAAGAAGCCAACATGCAAACACAATGAACAAAATCACGGAAAAATCCTGCAAAGGCGGCAACGGCAGCAATGCTGGTAGCAATAATCGAATGTTGGTAGCAACACAATATCAAGTAGCATAATATTTCTAAAATATGTGCATTCACTGCTCCCTTCCTGCATTGCTGTGTTCTTTCATTCCTTCATTCTTGATGTTTGTTCCTTCCTTATTGCTGTGCTTCTTGCTTTGCATCGAAAAAGATGAGAAATCCAAGTATCCTTCCTCCAGGACCCTTTGAAATAGAGAAAGTGCCATTACCAGCAGCGTATCCTGCATCATGGACCACACGCTCGATGTCATCACACTCTTGGAAGCCCATGAAGTCGTAGGGGTCAGGCCATGCCGTGGATGCCTTGGAGCAGTCTTCGGCGAAGCACACTGAATTTGTTTGCCCTTGAGGTCTTCGCAATAAGCCTTCCGCTGCGCCTTCCTTCACCTGTCAAACAAAGAGGATCATGCAAGCAAGCATCATGCAGACTCTGTTTCGCTGCAACGTTGAAGACACGCTGAACCGCCCAATGCAGTTGGTGGCAGTTTGCCTCCCCGCAAACCGAAAAGATTCCACCTCAGCGGGTTGCGAACCGGCCCATGCCATGTCTTGCAAGGCTTCTCTCAGCTGGTAACCAGAACAAGTTGTATGTCAGCACCTGCAAGACTGCAAGGAGGCTAGCACACTTGGGCGAGGCGCAAGCATGAAAGCACAGAAAGATTCAGAGAGCAGCGGGGAAGTGACAGCTGAGAAAGTATCAACATGGTCCGACCTTCGCTCGTACGCCACCCTTGCAGCCTCAGCGTTTGCCACAAAGATCGCGGAGCTTTTAGGCATGCGATCTCATCTACTTCAATACACATTGATGCACGATGTAGGTTGTGCAGAGTTTGCTGCGGGATTTCGTGCTGGCACTGGTGCTGTTGTTGTGTTGGCTGGTGTGCTGTTACTGCAAGTGATGCTGGGGCCGGACAAAGGCTGGTATGGCTACTGGTCAGCAATAAGTCATCCTGCCGTCTTCGTCGCCGCCGGTGCCGCCATCCTCATGGAAATGGTCGTGGTCATTCATGGCCGTGGTCGTGGCCGTCGTCGTCGTCGCCGTCGTCGTCGCCGCCGTCGTCGCGGCCGTAGTGGTCGTCGTCTTTGCACCGCCATCATTGTCGCCGGCCTCATCGTCGTCGTCGACTTGGCATCGTGGACGTTGCATCATCGTCCTTGGCCCAGCGGCGGCGGCAGCGGTGTTGTGGTGATGATAACAGCACGGGTGTTCGTGATAACCATAGTGGTGGCAGTGGTGGCAAGGGTGGCAGTGGTGGCAGCGGCGGCAGTGGCGGCAGTGGTGGCAGCAGTGGCAGCAGTGGCAGCGGTGGCAGCGGTGGCAGCGGTGGCAGTGGTGGCAGTGGTGGTAGTGGTGGCAATGGTGGCAATGGTGGCATTGACAATAGTAGTTGGTGGTAGCGGTGGTAGTTGTAGTGCTGGTACTGGTGGTACTGGTGGTGCTGGTGGCAGTGGTGGTACTGGTTCTACTGATGGTAGTGGTAGTAAGGTAGTAGCGGTAGTAGTGGCTAAACCTTAAAAACTCCAAACCCCACAAACCCTAAACCCTAAAACCCCCAAACCCTACAAACCCTCAACTTTAAAAAATCTAAAAACCTTAAACCCTTAACCCAAAAAGCCCTAAACCTTAAAAGCCTTAAACCCTCAAAATCCTAAACCCTCAAAACCCTAAACCCTCAAAACCATGAACCCTGCAAACCCTCAACACTAACAACCCTAACTAGCCTAAACCCAAAAAAACAAAACCCTGAGAACCCCGAACTCTATAGACCCTAAACTGACAAAACCCTAAACCCTAAAAACCAGAAACCCTAAAATCCCTAAACTGTAAAAAGCCTAAAACTCTCGAACCCTAAAATTCTAAAACCGACAAAAAGCCTAAACCCTGAAAACCGTAAACCCTAAAAATCCTGAACCCTAGAAACCCCAAACCCTACAGACCACTAAAAAAAAGCAAACCCTAAAACCCCTAAACGCCAAACCCTAAAACCGTAAACCCTAAAAACCCTCAGCCCTAAAACCCCCAAGCCCTAAAAACCTTAAACCCTCATAGCCTGAAGCAGTTAAAACCCTCAACCCGAGGCAGCCTAAACCCTAAAAACCCTAAAGCTGGAAAACCCTGAACCCTCAAAACATTAAACCCTAAAAACCAGACGAACCGCAAACCCTGAAAACCCTACACCCTAAAAACCAAAACAAACTGAACCCAAAAACCCCCTAGACGCCTTAAGCCCTGAAATCCTTAAAGCCCATAACACTAAAACCCTAAGCCCTGAAAACACTAAAAACCCTAAGCCCCCAAAACCCTACAAACCCTAAACCCTAAAAACCCTAAGCCCTAAAAGCCAAAAAGCCCTAAAACCTTAGTAGTGGTAGTAGCTGTGCTTGGGGAGGTGGCGGCGGTGGCGCTGCTGTGGCAGCGGCCATGGCGGTGGCAACGGTGGTGGTGGCGCTTTAACTACTTTAGTAGCGGCAGCAGCTGTTGTGGTTGCAGCGCTGCATTTATGTAGCGGCAACAATACAATTGGCAATCGCAGAAGTAGCAGCTGTGGCAGCAAGAGCAATAGCAGTATGCATGCCTTCCAGCACTTGCACGTGTCCAGTTCGCTCTTTGGCTGGCAAATGAAATGCGATTTGTAAAGTTGAATGAGCATGCATGTGTAGCAACAGCAGACGCAACAAGCAGTTGCAGTAATAGTCGTTGTAGCAGTAGTAGCAGCAGCAGCAGTAGTAGTAGTAGTAATAGTAGTAGAAGTAGGAAACCACAACCGGGTAATTTTCGTGCGGCCACGCGCCTCCGCGGCCCCCGGCCTGTGTCCTGCGGCCCGCGGCCCGCATCCTGCAGCTTCGATCCGCGTCCCGCGGCCCGCCCGCGGCCCGCGCGCGGACCGCGGCCGGCTGTCCCGCAGCCCGCGTCCTGCGTCCCACGTCGTCCCACAGCCCGTGGCCTGCGTCCCGCGGCCCGCGACGTGCGACTTGTACCGGCGGCCCGATTTACTTAAAATCACTATAAGGGCGACAGGTTGGAAACGGGGGATAGGGTGGAGGGGGGTAGCTCCGTGCAAGCAAACCTCAATCGGTAGGCAACAACTCATAATTAAGCAGCACCACGGAGAGGTCATTCTGAGATGTCGTCGCCGCTGGTGAGCTTTGACGACTGCAATAAGCGATTGCGCTGGGAGTGGCAGCCGTGCACTGGCGCCCAGTTCATGTTGAACTTGCCGCGGCAAATCCGCGAACAAGTTACGTCTCACAGAGAGCGCTTAAGTGTTGCGCTTAGACGCGCATCTATGACAGCTTGCAGAGGAGCAACGCAAGCATGAAAACCTGACCTCCGAAATGAAGATTTCGGAGGCGCATCGCTGCTGCCTACACCCATCAACAACGTCATAAGATTCAAAGATATAACCACATAGAGCCCCTTCAAAATGGCCCTTTTAACCACTGTTGATGGGTCCGGGCAGCAGCCACTATATCAACATTACTAATAATTACTACTGCTACTAGCCGCCTGC